AACTTTAGCATCAAAGAGTGAACCACGTCCAAGTCTGTCTTACTTTCCTCCATATCCGCTTGAACAGCCAAATTGAGCCTGTGACTAGCACAGCCCACAAGAGGCACCCCCATTAGCGTAGCTAGAAGTCTGTTGACAGCGCAATTGTCAGCCACTAGGAACAGACATTGAGAGAGCTGTTTGCCATAGTCTCGTGGCAGCATGTTCGCCAGGAACTCCATGTGGTCTCGAGCAGAGAGGTCGTCGTCGAGGGCGTCAAGCAGAGGAGCCATGCTGAGGAGCGGCGTCTTCCTGACGCCGCCGGCGTCGTAGCAGGCGAACACTGCGATGAAGTGCTGGGAGGCGTGCGTCCAGCCGTCGAAGAGGAATTCAAAGCGCTCAAGCAGCTCAGCCGCGATCGCGCGCTCCACAATTCTAGTGAGGCTGTCCATTGCACTAACTAATGTCTCCGCACAAATTGGATCGAGATTTGTGTATCTGGTCTATGGCAATCACAAAAATAAGTAGTCTATAGATTTGGTAGGAATAGCAAGCTATCGTACCTCCTAGCCGCACGGTTCTCGCAGAATGACAGCGGCAGGTTGTTCTTAAGAATCCAGTCCATTCAGCCGTAGACGTTCAAAGCCGATTGGCGTACGTAGCTTAGCATGGAGCCAGTCTCGGCCGTCGACGCGGCCAGCATGATGGCCTCGTAATCAGGGTGCTCACGGCGGACGTGCTGCATGAGATTGCTGTAGCCGTTACGCCGTGTCTGCTTCCGTACCGTGCCGCACCGGCAACGGAAGTACTCGAGGATGACCTCATCATGATCATCTCGGCACGGACGGAAGTAGAAACCAGAAACTTGGGCCGGGGTAAAGGTGGCGTGATGAGGGCGAGAGGTGAGGGTCATGGCGGTTGGGCAGGAGGTGCTGGGAGTGCTTGGAGAGCTCAAAATGAAGAGTGAGCACTTGATCAGGGTGTGCTGGATAGATGATTGCTAGAATCGTTGGCTCAGAGGAGTTTTGCTCTCGTGCTTTAGGCTGGTTGGCTTGGGGACATTCATCATGGTAAAGAGGTTTTAGCATAAATATGAGAGATGTTTGACATAGCAAATAAATTATCAGATTTAGGCGGGGAAAACGGAGCATAAATAATTTCTTTGCCTCATGTAAAATTACTGAAGTGACCATGCTATAATCGGCAGGCCTGGTGGTGGTCGATTCTACAATATAAAAACGAGCAAGCGCAGTAGATGCGCTAATATCAGACATGGTAAAATAAAGGCACTAGGAAATCTGCACATTTCTTTTAAGTACAACGAAGTGTTAATACTTGTAACAAGATAAATTATAGTATAACATGCATACTTAGTGCCGTTCTTATCAGCGGTAGGTTTTTGGTAGGTCGGTAGGATTGGTAGGATCCGTGACATGTGCGGGACTACGGTTAGGGTTAACAAGGAGGCCTGGCCGGCCAAATCCTACTTGGCGTTTTCGAGGGGGTTGTTCCGGTTGTCCCGGTTGTCCCAAATTATCCCGGGGGGGGGGGGGGGGGTCTGCCTCATTCTAGAGTATAACTGGCTCTCGCTCGTTCCCTACTTCTCGCCCAAATCCATGATACCTACGCTAGCCCTCGCTACTATTCCAGCTTCATCATATGGCACTAGCACTACCTCCACTACACTCACTGTCCAGCCTCGGCCGGCGTCCTTGCAACAAACAACGTGCTGGCAGCACTTGAAGCGATCGATGCCCATGTCATGGTGTCTGCTGTTTGGTTTCTCTGGAAATGAGACGTTTGAACTGGACATACTATGTTTACGACAATATGATCCCATAGTAGGTCCTACTACTTTTTATTATTATCAAGGTGGTCTGCGGTCTCGGCCCGGGACAACAAATCCTACCGCTGATAAGAACGGCCCTTAAAGTAACTGTGCTCGATGCTTCGTTGTGTACAACCTGTCGTTGCTACACGTCAGCTCATGCCTAGAAAGTACTGATTAGCAAGCGTGGTAGGCATAGGTAAAGGTGGGATTTTTATTATCAGAGGAAAACACGTTTATTTTATTTAGGAGTATCTGTGTAGGTAACCAAAGAGTTGCATTTTAGGTAAATTCAGAACTTCTTCGAGCAAAGCGCGACCTTGTTTCAATTAACTACGTTTCTGACCGTTGTTCTGGAACTAGACTAGAAACTCAGCTTTGAACGTCGGGAGCAAACGAAAATCACTTTCTCAACTGTGATTTCGATTGTGGTGCCAAAACCCTTGAGAAATTGCCGATTGCAGTTTTCACGGTGCGAGCAAAGTCCCAATCCCGGCTACGTGCAGGAATTTCGACGGGGATGTGTATATCTTGAGCCGTCACGATGACCACTACGACGACATGGAACGGGAAATATTCGAGCGTGAGGCCAGTATCGTGGATGACGACTCCCTTCTGGATAACGCAGTGTATAATTTCCCTGATCCAAACGAAGCTGTCGATGGAGATGTGAAATATATCGTCCGAATTTCACCGCGTCCAAGTATTCAACGAATACCTGGTTATCGTTTCGTTAATCTTTGTACTGATCATGCTACTCTGTGACCAAATTCTAGTGCCAGGGTGTCCGTTCACGGGTCTTACGTTGCATCGTTGCTCAAAGGGGTGCTATTGTTTTGGTGTTGTGGATTTCGGGAACTATGGTTGCGAATTCTTTCGGAATTCACTACGTGTCCTCCGAGCACATTCTCGTCCTCAACAAACTGGAGAAGTTGACACTGGAGAAATCATGAGTCTCTTACTGAAGGACGTGCAGAAGGGCAATCTAGCTTACAACAAGATTCGAGATCTTATTCTAGGCATGATCGACCCTCTAGCTTTCATCGTTGTGAGTATTTTGCCGCGCCGACCATCAGTTCTAGGTATGAACTGCTTATACACAGCTGCGGTCGTGGAGATCGTTGGTAGCACCAACCATGATGCAATTCGTTTTAATGTTACAAACTAGTATTAGCGGGAGCTATTAATTTGCGTGGTCAATGATTTTGGCTATGTCATGTAGCTTCTAAATGCTTACTTAAGTATTTTCGTACTTTTGTTTATTACTAATTAAACAGATCGATCAACAAACGCGAGACTGTGGACATGGATCGGCCAATGTATATATACTTTTGTTCCCTAATCGACTTGAACACTTGTAGGAAAATTGTGATGTGAGCATTACAGTAAGGTTAAGAGCTAGTAAGTAGAGGGGCTCGAAGAGTACCCAGGAGAGTTGATCGTCCTAATGAAGCCATTGAAGAAGGATGTATCCATGTTCCTTCGGTGGTTACGCCCTCAAATGGAGGAGTTTATGAAGTACGAGACACATTCTCGCAGCCCAGCAGGGAGTCAGTAACGCTGTTTCGCAGCAGTCGCGAAAGGGAAAACCCAGTCGTCGACATGGAGGCAAACCGGATCAGCAGCGCACCGACGGACAGCATCAAAGTCCTGGGGCGTCGGCA